ATTCTTCATGGGACTAAAAAGCTTCATCTTTCTCCCATGGAGCAGCTGGTGGTTTCAAACTGCTAACCTTGAGGTTAGCAGCTCAACACGTAATTACTATGCTACCAGGGGTTCAGCCGCCATTGGACAAGTCTTTGTTCTGTGACAGAAGTATTATTTAATATGTGTAAAGTATTATTTACTATGTGAAGGGGCATGTTTGACTTATTTAGCTGGGTGGGGACCGCTATCGTTGTGCAAGTTGTCAGCGTGGGCTTTGTACTTTCTCAATGATCTGTTTCTAGACTCATACCAGGGTGGGTGCAGACACCTCTCAGGACATACAGCTCTTTGGCATAGGAATTCAGCCCGAGCACTGTGAAATCCACATCGCAGCCGACGGAGAGGTTTCTCTTACCCCCAAAGAAAACGCAAGGTAAGAGACATTAAATGGCTATTGAAGCTGGCCCAGTGTTTCCTTTTTGAGAAGAGAGGGTTTCCCTATCGGCTTGCTTGCCGCAGGTATGTCAAAGTGAAGGAGGGGTGGACTGGGTGGCCAGGGAATTTGTTTTCCAGGTGACAGGGGATGACATAGCTACTTTTGAAGAGCACTGACTGGCTGTGTGGCCTTGCATAGGAGCAGGGGTCCTCAAACTTTTCCAACAGGAACCAGCTCACTGTCCCGCAGACCCATTGGAGGGCTGGACTGTAGTTAAAAATAGAAACTATGAACAAATTCCTATGCACACGTCACGTATCTTGTTTTGAAGTTAAAAAACAAAAGGGGAAAAACACCCGGCAGGCCACAGTTTGAGGACCCCTGGATAAGAGACTTCCACCTGAATACATTAGTTTCTCCATGTGGTTAATGGGGCTAAGAGTGGCTTCCTTTTAGGGATTTTGAAGATTAAAGGTAAAACTTCTCAGTCACTTGACTTAATGTCCGATACACAGGAGAGAAAGCCAAAACGTATTGCCAGAAAACCACAGAGGCATTTATTTATTAAACAAAAATATCAAAAGGCAAAGCTGCTATTTTTTGACTCGGCCCCCATCCAGACTACAGTCCCTCCTTCCCTGAAGAATGATTTGCTCTTAGATTCCTAGCGCATGCATCGTGCATGTGGCCTCCTTGTAGGGGAGCTCAAATTGTGTTTTTTGAAGTGTCAAGTTTGGGAGACACAAAATAAACTCGGAAGGGACAGGATAAGGGACGTAGGGTGGATGGGGGAAGGTTTCCCAACAAAATTTTCTTAGGATAGCCCTTACTACCCTGGAAGTACATTATAAATACAATGTAGGTACAGTATGGTTACGTTGTAGGTACAGTGTAGGTGGTACATTGTCAGGATGTGAAATATCCCTTGGGGAAAATGTCCTGGCCTTTTGTCATTAATGCAGTCTTCCATTTCTTGAAACTTCTTTATAATAAGCCCCCGTGATTGTGTTGTGAGTACCTAAGCCAATCTGTCAGAATCACCCCTCAGTAATCCCACAAGTTAGTCCCCGTTGTCTCCTACGCTGACCTCTGCCTTGACATGAACTGCCCCAGCAGGGCTCCGCACAAGCCACCGTCCTTTCTTCTTTCCTCTTAAGACATCCGAAAGAGCCTGAGATGTGTGTTACTGAGAGGACTTG